GCGCAATGAATGATGGGACTAACTCTAGATCACGCGAGAACAACGTGAACGCGTGATCCAATATGGTTGTGCCCACAATCGCAATAATTTTCACAAGTCGTAAAAAAATCGTAAGTTTTTCAGTTTGATCGTACATTCGTAGAAACATCATGGAATTCGTAAGGAATACGAAAAAATCGTAAGGGTTGGCAGGTCTGCATGAGATGTATTCTGTGGATGTGCCAACAGCAGTGTGCGGGATGTCGGATTCCTTTCCTTCTCCTACCTTCGTCGTCTTGCTGTTTGCCTGTGCTGCCACCGCAAGCTCGTGCAACTGCTGCGTGAATCGCTGGATCGCAGAGTCAGCGAGGCCCTTCACAGCATACCCTAGACAGCACAAGCGCCCTCTATTACACTCATCGCCAGTTTCATTTGCTATCGGCCGGGTGCCGGAGATGGAGTGCCGAATCACAGGCAGATGGCCCTCGGTTGCTCATCTTTGCTGAGGTATGTGCGTACTGTGTAATTACGCTTTGGTTAGTTGTCTGTGTAAACTTGCTTAGTAGGTGGGGGGAACGTACCGGAGAGTTCGTACTCGGAGGCAATATCGTGTATCTGGTTCTCCCTGTTGTTCAGCTGTTGCTTGTGTTGCTGGAATCAGAGAGCACGGCAATGTCACCTAAATCGACTTTACTTGCTTTGGCATCATAGCATTTAAAACTTTACACATAGGTACAGCACTTATTCCTTTATCAGGCTGGATTACATACAGATTAACTAGCGTGTGGTTACAAATATTTCACCAAAGCGCCCCAGAGCAGTGCTCCTCTGTGCATGGGCTAGCTATTTTGCGAGGACCCATTTTTGCTACTACTTTACGTTAAGAAGACATATTCACCTCAGCTTCTGTCTCTAGTTTTCCCTGCTGCAGCAGAAGTTGGCTTTTCTGTTCTCCCAGCTTGCTACGTTCCCGCGACAGTTTATTCAACTGTTCCTCTTGCTGCAGGAAAAAAACTAGCCTTTCAATCATTTTTACGACAATGTTAAGGTTCGTTCACAATGCTCATACAGAAACTATGGCCCCCAGTTCGACCCAATGTCTCCAGTTGCAAATAAAACCTGTCGGAATTTGATTTCCTGTGTTAATCCAACCATTATGTTCCACCTAGTGGCAATCGCTAGCGACAATAGCTGTTCCCCTGTTTCATTTCTAACCGTCGCACCGGCTGCTGCCACCTAGTGGCAATACTTGTCCCGCAAGCACTGACCTTCAACAGAGACGACCTGTGTCGGCCGAGCCTCGTCTCAAACTGCTCGATGTCTCGCTGCAGCTCTACGGTGCTGCCCTCGTACGGCGCGTTTATGTTATCGCGTAGCGTCGAACAGCGGGCACGCAGCTGCACGCAGTCGTCCGCTAGCCGGTCGTCCTGCGTCTGCAGCTGCTGGTAATCATGGGCCTGCTGCTCTCGCTCATCTATGTCCGTCTGCTCGACGACGCAGACGACAGACGAGCAATAACACGTCGTTATAGCAACTCAACGTATTAATGAATAACAATAATAATGATGATGATGATAATAATAACACGTCGTTATAGCTACTCAACGTATTAATGAATAACAATAATAATGATGATGATGATAATGACAATAATGATAATAATAACACAGTTATAGCTACTCAACGTATTAATGAATAACAATAATAATGATGATGATGATAATGACAATAATGATAATAATATCACAGTTATAGCTACTCAATGTATTTAATGAATAACAATAATAATGATGATGATGATAATGACAATAATGATAATAATAACACACAGTTATAGCTACTCAACGTATTAATGAATAACAATAATAATGATGATGATGATAATGACAATAATGATAATAATAACACGCAGTTATAGCTACTCAATGTATTAAATAAATAACAATAATATCAGGAGTGTATAATATAGATCTATATAATACCTATATTATACACTCCTGATAATATTAATGAAACAAGTGCCGCGGAGCGACAGCGCTCATCTAACGTCTACTGCAGTGACTCTGTGGTGGAGTGGTGGGATTCTAGTAAACCCTGTTAGTCCCAAATGTGTTCACATACACGCCGAAACAGTGGAATGCACAGGGATGGTATCAGGAACCTTCTCAAAGGAATGTTCGTTGGGATCGTTATGAAAGTTGCCACGAGATGGCGCGTACGTTTAAGTGTCTTCAGATTAAAGATGGAAGCTCCCATCGTACGTAGTAGCAACAACTATTTGCAAGACAGAATAGGTAAGCACTCATCCATTTACCTACGCAAGCCTACAGGCTGCAATAGACAGCTGCCACCTGTAACCAATTAACGCAGGCAAAAACTACACAGTACCAATAACACATGCACTGGCAGTAGCCACTGGCAGTGGCATACGTTACATGTAACATACTGACAGTACAGAATGCCATAGAAATTATACGATTTAAGGAGCATAAACCTTCTTTAACCAAATTTAGCTTTTGAAATTTCACTGTGACATTGTAGCCTCATACATCCAGGCATGTATAGATTCTACTAGCAAACCCGGCAGTCAAATTCTTTCTAACAGACAGTCAACAAATCCATGTTTAACCCTCCTCTTGAGGGTCAAAAGGTTATCTGACACTTACTCTTCGCATGTCAGCAGAAAGTAGATTTCATGGTCCTTTCAATAATGCCATAAAAATGGTAGGTCACCGCTGAAACAAAAAAGTTTTTCATTCTGTCCATTAGGCCACGTACTCAGAAAATGTCTGATATCTGACCTTTCCCCCACTGCCCTTTGACTTGTGACCTCTAATTTTGCACTGGTGATGGGTTTCCTGCCCATCACACTATACACCGAATATTAAGAGCATAGGTCGAGCCGTTAAGATTTGTGCCGCAATTCCGTATTTCTTCCTATACCCCCTCCGTTTACTATTTACTCCTATCTAGTGTTGTCAATCGGTTGTAATTTCGTAATCGATCATCGGTTGGACCCAAGTAACCGATGATCGGTTACAATCGGTTACTCGGGGTGTTGAATGCCTGCGTGTGCGTAACGTCGTGTGAATGTACGTGTGTGCATGTATGTGCTTGTTTAGCCCTGTTTACTGTTTGTTTTGCACTGTTTACTACTGTGTGTATAATACATGTACTGATTGTCATAACTTTTCCAAGTTTTTTTGTTTTTATTAAATCGATTATGGATTTTGATAACCAAGCGCTTGGTTCGAGCCACTGTTCAACCGATGATCGAGTATAATCGATGATCGTGACATCACTACTCCTATCACTATCCTATCCTATCACTATCCTATTACTCCGTTTCCTATACTCCCGGGAAATATCCCCCCTCTGTTTACACATCTTGACCTTTGACCCTTGACCCCCAAATTTGTCATCCTGAGTCCTTTTCACAATTCCCCCCCCCCCGACGTCCCGAATATTGTGACCGTACGTCGAGCGGTTAAGATTTGTGCCCAACTATTGACTACGTCAGATGAGCTAATAAAATACAGGCAATGAGTAACGTCATTTTTGCAAAATGTACGTTGTATATTTACATTCGACTACATATAATATTAATATATAATGTATTTCATACAATGTAGCCATGTAAGAGAATTCTCGCTGCTGAACAATGTCTGCTAGGTCGAAACAATGTAAAATATATACGAACAAGGTTAGAATCAATTGAAGTAACATTATTATTGTCTGCATGCTCAAACTAGCACAGCATATACAGCAGGTCCCTTACCAATTGGATTCCTCCTGGTGACAGAAGATGACACTATTGATGACAGACTTGGAGACCCCCAGAGAGCTTATCATTTCCCGGTTCAGATCAGCACACTTTGATGTCAGCGTGATTTTCTGCATAGAAAACAGTGCATTTAACAATAATTGCCAAAGTTTTCGGTTGAACGGCAAAGTGGGCAAACACAGCATATTAGCACAAACACAATCTAACAATAGATGCATTACTGACTGCATACATTAGGCCTACTTCCTTATTTACCACAGAGTTATACAGATATGCTACCACCACGTGTACATAAACAGCAACAGTTCAAGAAATCTATTTCTATTGTGACAACTGTCTGTGACTGTTTGAAAAGGTAGTTTTATTACAAGGAACGTTTTTTTTATCATGTAGGAAGGTTAACCTGGACTTTTGACTCATATGCCAATGTGCTTAAACAGGAATACAGACGAAAATAATAAGCTATGGTAGGTTCTCAGTATTAAATGAAACATATAGTTTCAGTTTAAAATGCAAATGCTAGGGGGATAAATAAAATAAAAATAAATGAATGTGATGAATTGCCAGCATACCTCTGACTTTATAATGACAATACCTACTTCATCATTTCTATTGTATCTAACCAAAGTACCATCTAGAGTCTTCATTGACACTTGTTTTACCTGAAATATAAATTACAATAATACAATCAGTTAGACACGTGCCCTATTATACCTGCATTGACACAAGGCATAATAACCCAGATTACATAACATAAAACTGTGGGTCCTTTAAGGGTGGGTTTCTATAACACAGGTTATGTGAGACTACCCCACATGAAAAGTCCGCACTCAAATCAGCGAATACACACAAACCTCGAAAGGCTATAAAAAAAACTGTGCTTCTATAACCTGTTTTTGTAGTCATGTGAAGACGCACCTTACATATGTTTTACTCATACATCTAGCTATGACTTGCATTGCCTGGTACACAAAGAATATATTAGAAATTTGATCGGAATTACTAATACATGTTAAAAGAAATGAATAGAAAAATGCTGATAAAGTCAAGGTACTTTATCAACATCTTTATAGCAATCTCAGGCACAATCAATATGCTGATCAAACTGGGAAGCTTTCAAATTGATATCACCTCAACACTAGCTAGGCTTAAGTGTTATAGCTACTCAACGTATTTAATGAATAACAATAATAATGATGATGATGATAATGACAATAATGATAATAATATCACAGTTATAGCTACTCAACGTATTAAATAAATAACAATAATATCAGGAGTGTATAATATAGATCTATATAATATCTATATTATACACTCCTGATAATATTAATGAAAAAACTGATGATTATTATGACGATAATAATAATAATAACAAAAGTAAGTGTAAATAATAATCACCGTTGCTAGTAGTATGGTTACTGATTGAGTAAACGGATAATTAGGGGCAGTCATTCATAGCAGATTTTGCAGTAATCCACTGACAGTGTGTAGCTGCCCACCACAGCGTGTAAGTGGACATGAGTATTACTCTAGGATAGGTTAAATGTTCATAATACCTGAACTGCCTCCAACTGCTCTGTTAAATTTCTAATAGAGTCGACGGACACTGACAATTTGGTCTTAATTCGCTCCATGTTATCTTTGATCTGAAATAACGCACAAAAACATTCCTTACTGTTTAGTGTTATCGTTGATTCCCACTGCTGCCCATTATTCAATGTTCCCGTTTACTACTGGGCTAAAAAGATCACCGGATTCATTTTTCCTATTAGTTTCACCACGATATCACAGCGTTTTTTTAATCTTGCGTTACGAATAAAGGTTGCTCTGTTAAAAATAGCAATATAGCACCTCTTCTGCCTTGTCCTTGTTCTGCTTGAGGTACTTGAGTGCGCTGTTGTGTATCTTGACTTCTCCCTGCTGTTCTACCCTCTGTTTGCGGATTGAATCCAGCGCTTTTATGTAGCGCGTAGCCGCAAAAATCTCGTCAAATCTCTCCTTTAGCGCTTTTCCCTCTGACAACGGCCTACAAAAAACATAAGGCAATCAATGGCTTTTCGTATTTAGAATGTTATAAACAAGAGCCGCAGAGCGTCTGGGCTCATCTGAGGTCTGTTGCTACGGTTATAAACGTAACATTTAAGTCGTGCGTAGTGACACCTTTGTTAGGCGCAGATATGCAGATACGCAGTTGCATACACATCATTTCAGCAACCTTCTGCATTCTGCATACCTCCCAAATCCCATTGGTTGATACAAAACGCGTGCCTGAAACTCCTGTTTTATGGTGCATTGTGACTCTAACCCTAACCCTATTAAAAAAAATATATATTAATTGTTAATTTGTTGTTATTAAATTGTTGTAAATAAATCATGTAAATATTTGCGTTAACTCAAAAAAAATAGTTAAATGGATAAAGATAGAAAAATACAGAAAACAGGTAAATAATAAAAAACCTGATGGGATTCGAACCAACGACGTTTGAGCCGTCACGCCTGTGCTGTACGCGTTTGGCTATCCAGGCTTATTGGGTTTCTAGATTATGGATGTGCCATGAATGACAACACTATGACGTCATTGAGGCAGTTCAGTGATCCATGTTTGTTGGTCAAAAAGTTATCAGACACTTACTCTTCGCACGTCAGTGGAAAGCACATTTCATGGTTCTTTCAATAAAGTGATAAAAATGGTAGGTCAGCGCTGAAACAAAAAAGTTTTTCATTCTGTCCATTAGGCCACGTACTCAGAAAATGTCTGATATCTGACCTTTCCCCCACTGCCCTTTGACTTGTGACCTCTAATTTTGCACTGGTGATGGGTTTCCTGCCCATCACACTATACACCGAATATTAAGAGCATAGGTCGAGCCGTTAAGATTTGTGCCGCAATTCCGTATTTCATCCTATAGCTTAAGTTAAGGAAAAAATATTCCCCCTCCGTTTACACCTCTTGACCTTTGACCCTTGACCCCCCAAATTGGTCATCCCGAGTCCTTTATTAGCCCTTTTCACGAGCCCCCCCCTTCCCCCGACGTCCCGAATATCGTGACCGTACGTCGAGCGGTTAAGATTTGTCCCCAACTGTTGACGAACGGACGGACGGACGCACGATCATGCGATTCTACAAGCTGCATCTGACTACGTCAGATGAGCTAATAAATACAGGCAATGAGTAAGTATATTTTGCAAAATGTTGTTGTTATATTTACTATCGACTACATATAATATTAATATAATGTACGATATATCATACAATGTAGCCATGTAGAGAATTCTCACTGCTGAACAATGTCTGCTAGGCCGAAACATGTAAAATATATACGAACAAGGTTTAGAATCAATTGAAGTAACATTATTATTGTCTGCATGCTCAAACTAGCACAGCATATATACAGCAGGTCCCTTACCAATTGGATTCTCCTGGTGACAAGATGACACTATTGATGACAGACTTGGAGACCCCCAGAGAGCTTATCATTTCCCGTTCAGATCAGCACACTTTGACGTCAGCGTGATTTTCTGCATAGAAAACAGTGCATTTAACAATAATGCCAAAGTTTCGCGTTGAACGGCAAAGTGGCAAACACAGCATATTAGCACAAACACAATCTAACAATAGATCATGCATTACCTGACTGCATACATTAGGCCTACTTCCTTATTACCACAGAGTTATACAGATATGCTACCACCCGTGTACATAAACAGCAACATTTCAAGAAATCTATTTCTATTGTGACAACTGTCTGTGACTGTTTGAAAAGGTAGTTTTATTACAAGGAACGTTTTTTTTATCATGTAGGAAGGTTAACCTGACTTTTGACTCATATGCCAATTGTGCCTTAAACATGAATACAGACGAAAATAATAAGCTATGGTAGGTTCTCAGTATTAAATGAAACATATATAGCTGTTGAATAGATTCAGTTTAAAATGCAAATGCTAGGGGGATAAATAAAATAAAATAAATGAATGTGACGAATTGCCTAGCATACCTCTGACTTTATAATGACAATACCTACTTCATCATTTTCTATTGTATCTAACCAAAGTACCATCTAGAGTCTTCATTGACACTTGTTTTACTGAAATATAAATTACAATAATCAATCAGTTAGTTACACATGCCCTATGTATACCTGTATCTACACAAGGCATAATAACCCAGATTACATAACATAAACTGTGGGTCCTTTATGGGTGGGTTTCTATAACAAACGGTTATGTGAGACCACCCCACATGAAAAGTCCACACTCAAATAAGCGATATACACACAAACCTCAAAAGCTATAAAAAAACTGTGCTTCTATAACCTTGTTTTGTAGTCATGTGACAGACCCACCTTACATATGTTTTACTCATACATCTAGCTATGACTTGCATTGCCTGGTACACAAATAATTATATTAGAAATTTGATCGGAATTACTCATACATGTTTAAAGAAATGAATAGAAAAATGCTGATAAAGTCAAGGCACACTTTACAACATCTTTATAGCAATCTCAGGCACAATCAATATGCTGATCAAACTGGGAAGCTTTCAAATTGATATCACCTCAACACTAGCTAGGCTTAAGGCTAACTCAGGTCGCCCTTACGACCTAGTCGCCGACAAAATTTGAAGAGCGTACGTCAAAAACCGGCCAGATCGCCGATAAACTCGACATGAGTTCTCTTACGATCGAAAATACGGTCGCCGACTGCGATCGCAGGAATAGAACGGTTCTATTTCTATGCGGCGGTCGGCGACAAATCGTGAGTGGCAGCCAATCACCGCTACGTCTCGAGTCACATGATTATCAAAAGTCACGTGATTAACAAAATGGCAGCCTACACAGCACACAAACCCTTTCTCAAATATATATTAAGTTTTTCCGTATATCACAGTGCAATTTTTAAAATTCTTTTCTGCACATGATTATAACGATTTCAGAAAATTGAGGATAGATTTAACAAGTTACCTGATGTTTACTGGTAATTAAGCGCCGTTTTGTTGTCATGTGACTCGTTTTATTGTAGACTATAGTCCCGGCGTCAAGCTTGCTCTGTTTGTGCTAAAGAAACTGCTTGTGTAGTACAAATACTGGGGCCGCAAACCCGTCTACGTTTCCTGCGAGAACGCTACGATCTGATCGGCCGATGTACAGCGTGAAGTCACTTCAAGTCGACGTGAGTGTTGCTACGCGCTAATCGGTGATAAAGTACGGTCGCGATAGTCAAATCGTAGAGCGACCCTGAGCAGGGCTTTACATGCTGCACATGTTGCTGCCCAAACTTGGAATCTTGCACAAACTTGGAATTTCAGCGCATTCCGCAGTTTGGGCAAACAATCTTGAGATTGGGGCAAACAGAGGTAAACAGAGCTTGCACAAACATATGATTATTTAGGATTTCAAATGTTATATCATAACTATAAGGTCGTATACCTTCTTTCCTCAATGTTTTTCAACTGTTTGGCACCTTTGTATAAATATTAAATGATTATAATAAATATTGGATAAGATTTAATATGAGATAAATCTCTTTCTTAGATTTGCACCACTGCACACCACACCCTCGCTATGAGCGGTGTTGAATCACCAACTGTTTTCAGTTTGCCCAATCTTGAGATTGGTCAGCCACAACTAGGGAATCCGCAGTTTGGTCAGCACAATCGCTGCACAATCTCCTGAGATTGTGCAGATTCCAAGTTTGGGTACAACATACATACGTCTGCACTGCCACAAATGATCGGGTGACTCGTCATATCTTTACCAGCCATGTCCTTCATTTGTAGTTTTACTTGTGCCTTAAACTTCAGACTCCCCGCCACTAACATGTAAATGACAAGCATAAAAACTCATTTCCAAATAATGCGTAATATGATGAATGTTCCAGCAAAAGTTACATTGAATCACAAACATGAATGTGTTTTGTGGTCTGGTCAGATAGCAATGAAGGTATATTTTCAATGCATGATTAACATTAGTTCACCATATTGCCGTGAAATCAAGCCAGTTATGGAGACTGGTAAAATAGATGTTATGATTAAAACTTAGTGCAATATGAGAAAATTCGGCCTGAGAACACATCTACTCTTGTGATTCTGGCAGCTTCCTCTATTACAATACATACAATTTTTCCCTATTACCTTCCCATAACCTCTAACTTAACATAAGGTCTAGATGTACCATAAAGATTAATGCATGCGAGAAACATTGACCAAAAACACCATGCCAGTATGAGAGGCCAACAGATGCCTACAAAAAGACCGAACAGAACCTATAGCCACAACTTTCTGGACATTGCACAAACATTTGTCCTTTTACCTGCCACTGGGCAGGCATTTCTCCTGTTGTAGCGGGAATTATTTCAAGCAGCTCAATATTGGTCTGAAAAACATTGCACATGAATACTGTTATTTCTTTAGGGTCATGCAGGTATAAAAACTGCATATTAACAGCCAACTATTGATTAATAGTGCCTCAAAAACTGATTAAATATAATTGCATCTGTTGTTATGGCAGATAACAATTCACGTGACTCTATATAAATTGATGATTTTAATCGAGCCATTGGCTGTGATTTGGTCCCTTGATCTCTTAAAAGCTACTGCTACTTTACAAGCAGGTTCTCCCCAGCGATGAAATTCAACAGGGGGGGGGGAGGGGAAGGGGGCGTCGAGGGGCTGTTTCTTTTACCGTCCACATAATTAATGCGTTAAATCGTCACCACACCATTAGACGGTATTTGGGGTTCTTGTATCATATAAGATAGCCCGAGTCTGGTGTACAGTTAGTGTTTGGGTGGTGGCGACAGCCGTTGACGAGGAATGTTTGACTTGCTTGATTGTCTGCCAGTGCGATGCGTGGCCCCCGGTTAAAAATACACGTGAACTCCGGGTGTCCTGTCGAATGCGTAATCTTGACGATCACATTTCCCTCCGCTGGCAAACTTTTATTGTTGGTGAATTTTAATCGGGGCGGAGGTATTTTAACAACGGGCGCCGCAACGATTGAAACAGGCGCGGAGTTTTCCCAAACGGGGCGCGCCGCCCCGTTTGCCACACGTGGGAGAACCCTGACGAGGAAGAATTTAAACGAGAAACATTGTAACTAATTACAGAGCACCTTAATTGTATCATTAGTATTACAGTAGTAACACTTACAGTCTTTCCTGATCCATTTGGCCCAAGGCATGAATGTTAACGACAGAAAATTCCATTATTTGCCGGTCAATTAGCCCTCTGCACCGAAACTTCGCACTCCCTGTATGCTGTCTTTGTGATGGCTGGACATTGTGTCCGTTTATATAGCCCTGTGGTTAATCT